GTGCTGTTTGGAATCATCTGGAATTTGGCGCCTCATCTCTTCTAATCGCATGTACCCAGAGCGCTCGGAGTTTTGCATAAGTGGGGAAATGATGAAAACTGAGGTGTGGTTGTAATTGTTGATTCGCCGAACATAACAGAACGCTACAATGACATGGAGATGAAGAAAACTGGTCCATTTTCTCATTTTTCCTACATTTTGTCAAGATTTACTGCTGTGAACAGAACCTGCCAGAAGTTGTCATCGCATGTTTCCAAACGTCTTCCTGGTTTGTGACATAAGTGTGAATACAGCCTATTACAGCTCCATGGAGAAAAGCGCTCCACCACAAAACTTAAATAGTGTACATTTACTAAGATAAAATGTTAATGTGCTTCCTTTTATTCCTTTTCTTTATCCCTAGTTGAGTAAAATCTTATTGCTGTAACAACACTCTTCCTATGGGTACAATTTCTGGCTACTCTCCACACCTCCTCTTGAGTTTTGAGTCCTCCACCTCCACCCTCTCAGCGTAGACCAATCTGCACCTGTCGTCGGTAAACCATGCCAATTCCAAAGTTTAAATCTAGGTGGCTTTGAGCTTGTGTCTTCTTGGCAAGATAACAATAATCTGGAGAAGAAGAGGGGAGAAAATCAAAGATGGCCACCAGAGAGCCTGCCTGACTTTGAAGCATCTGCACTTGTCCCGCTCCGCTTTGACTGAGCACACAGGAGCTCTGCTTTGTCACCATCACTCCTCCCGCAAAACCCACACGACTACTGTCAACATTTAATTATACCCACTGCATTTGAGGAACAGTACAGTGCCAAAACATGAATTTATGCATTACTTCAAATTACTTGGAGTTACAATGTTAATCTCACTTTTAGTAGTTTTAAGTTAAATTGCCTGGGCAAAATTTTTTTCCATGTATTTGAGCAAAATATGTCTTACATTTGTCTTACCAGAATAGATATACTGTATAAAACTGTATACTGTCTACATCTAATTAGACAGGGTTTTAGGCCAAAGATGTTCATTTAGTTTTCTTATATACTTTAACTTCTTGGGTTCTCTTTAAAGACAATACGATAAAGTGTATTTACTTTGTTGACATGTTTCGGCTGCTGCTGCAAGCCATTTTCAGAACCTCCTCTTTAGTCGTGGTCAGCCTGATTGACCTGGCAGGACGCTCAGACTGACCATGCCTCTCGTTGCCCGGTGTTCTCTGGAGGAGGGTGTCCCCAGTGTGTAAAAGGAGGAACACTCCATCATCACGGTTAATGCTGTCCGTGCCTCGTTTCCTGATTTCAGTGGCCTCCCTGATCCGGCGCTTGAACTTGTTGTTTTCCGATCCAATGACCCGAGCCCCGTCCCGATCCATAATGTGGTTATTTCTTTTACAGTGTCTGATATGGCAGATTTTAGGTTTTCCTGTTCTGCTTTATCTTTTTGTGTTCAGGTGAGTCTTCCTGATGTTTCCTTTTCACATTCCTTTTGGCGTTCTTTTTTTCGGATGTGAAATGCCCGGCCTGTTTCCCCTATGTACGATTTATTGCGTGATTTGCATTGGATTTCGTATATGGTGTTGCATTTTTGTGATTGTGGGATTCTTTGTGGGACAGTTCTGAAGATGACTTGCAGCTAGCAGCCAAAACCTGTCAACAAGGTAAATACACTTTACTGTAACCCAAGAAGTTAGACTGGGTTTTGTTGTTTAAGAATTAGGAAGTGCAGGGTTAACATGCTACTCGTTCTTCCAATCCAATCCAGTCCAACTTTATTTGTATTGCACATTTTACAAAACAGTGCTTCACATAGCAATGCAAAACATTTTATTTTAAGAAGAAAAAAATTATGTTTAATAAGGACACTAACAGAATAAATAAATAAAATAATAATAATAAAATAAATGAACAAAAATAATAAAATCAATACATAAAAGCAGTACTAGAAAATAAAATAGATAAAAACAATAAACAATTAAATAAAAGACACAGAGGACCACACAACTCACATGATATTAAAAGCCAGAGAATAAAAGTGGGTCTTAAAACACTCCACTGTGGGGGCTGTTTGGACGTGGGGGGGGCAGAGCGTTCCAGAGTTTGGGACCGGCCACAGAGAAGGCCACCACGAGCTGGAGCTGGCCCTCGGACCTCAGAGCGGGCGGTGCGGGGGTGTAAATTTGGATGAGGTCCGAGACGTATTGTGGGGCCAGTCCATTCAAAGCTTTAAAAACAAATAGTAAAATCTTAAAATCAATTGTAAAATTAACAGGAAGCCAGTGCAACAACGCAAGAATTGGGGTAATGTGAATGCGCTTTTTGCTCCATAGCATTACTATGATGGCAAAACTCAGCTCTGGCCTCTAAAAGTTGTGAAAAACACTTAAAAACTCATCGTAGTGTATGATTATGATGCTCATTTTAAACTGGAAACAATAACTACAAACTGCAAAATGAACTAGTTCCTTAGACTGTATTCACATTTAGACAAACGCCACATTCAAATTGTGACAAAATTCTGAACTAAACCTGGATCGAAACCAATACATCAGGACTAAACCAGGACATTCTAGAAAATATTATACGTCATGAAAGTAATCAAATCAAAATTGGGATTTAGCTGTGACTAAGCTCAAAACAAAACCTAAGATATTTCCAAATAACACCATTAGCAGATTAATTTTCTTATTTTAAGGTCAGATATTTGGAACCAGCAAGAAATGTCTCGAAACAAATTAAACGTGCCACATCATAAAGGCAATTCAATTTATAATCAGCACAACTCAAATCTAGTATTGATATTCTTATTTCATTTTAACCAAAGCTCAAATTAAACTGGCAATCCTCATTTATTTGGCAAAATGTTTTATCTTCAAGCGTTGTGTCTGAAGCGTAAACGGATTGACTTTATTGTTTGATGAATTACTTTTATTTGAAAGCATTTAGTTTCTGATAAACACAAACGCCATTAGATTTAAAGTTTAGTAATCAGGTTGTAACTGTAGGTTTGACTCAACATCAAAACTATGTTGGTTTGTGATGAGGAAACACTATAACATAGATCAGAAAATAGTGTAACACGGGCCCTTTAAAAAGCAGAACCTGAATGATTAGATTGAGAGTTTTTTTTCAATAACAGCAATAGCAATAGTGTTTGTGATAATATGTGCTCGTTACAACTCCACATGAATTGTTATGCCACACAAGCAGTGGGAGGCCAAAACTGTTTGTCAATGTATGCTCAGCTTTTGTTGATCAAGGACAACACACAGTAAAGAAGCACTTAAAAAAAAAGAAACTATCTGAACTCTGATCTATTATAAAGTCGATCCGCACCTCCACAACACTATTATTGTCTTTATTAGGATCTAAACACTTCTATTGCCAGATTTTTGTTTACTCCTGGTTACAAACAATTGCCTAAAGGGTTTATATTATATTTCTCAGACGTGTGTGACTATACCATTCACTGTATATAAAGGGAGGAGTATAAAGAAAGGAAAGGAAAGAGTATAGATGAATCAGTTCCTTTGCAGAAATAGAAAGGAAAGGAACTTTTCCCCATTCTGAAAAGTTATTTGTTATTGTATTGTGTGTATTATTTTTACTGCACTGTTCTCATAGAAACCTTGTCGTTGAGTGGATCTGATCAAGAAGACAATGCAGTAAATAGCACCAAATAGATTTAATTGTTTAAAAATGTAAAGGAAAATTATAGCCTTTATACAATTTTTAAAATGTGTATGTATGTAGTTTTTTTCCTTCAACAAAGAATTAAACATTCTTATTCTTATAATATTTGGTACTACAGAATGGTTCACCGTGGCAGAGTGGTTAGCCTTCACTGAGTTTCACTCGCTCCACCAATTTATCAAGTCAAGTCACCCATCAGAGACACCACCTTAGGCTCAAAATATACAGTATATATATTAAAAATCTTTGTTAAAAAAAATCCTATGTCAATGGTCTTTTAATAAACTAATGTCGATTCCATTGTTTTTTCTTTAGCAAAGTCCAGGGAACTAATAAAGCAGTGAAGCTGAAGTAACTTCAGTCAAACAAAAACTCCGTTGTTGTTTACAGTAAAAACTATCTGTACAGTTAAGACCATTTAACCATTTGACCACCCTAATGTGGGAACTATCGCCTTATTATGCTTCACTTACACGTGAAGCATAATAATAACCCCAGGTATGTTTGACTTAAAGTAGAACTAAATACTAAATAACTTTTTTGCTACTACACTATTAAAACATTGCATTGTTTACTGTTCCTAGCCCTGCGGTCACCAGTGTCAGTACCTGGACACCCGTTAAACCAATCACACAGCTCCTCATGTGTCCAGACACAGCTCCTCCCTTCACTTTTCCCCTTCAGTCTTCCCGTACTGTTGGTGAATTACCGGCAGTACTCTTATTGAAATGTATATGTGGAAGGAGTTCAGGTTTTTAGTCCCATTTTAAAGAGTAAAAAAATTGTCCCCTTTAACCTTTATATCCCTGGGTGCGGCGAGTGACTGAGCCTATGTTTTCTGTGTAGCCACTCTTATCTGTATTCGTCTCACTGCTCGGGAATGAGCTGCCAGAACACTGCTTTTCTGCCAACTTTGATCACGGCTTCCCTTCAGGACAACAAACCGCTCTGCTTATGATTGCACGTGCACCAGTGGACCTGACTGATATGCATCTCAATATTTAGCGTCTCATTTGAGCCCTTTTCAGAGTGTAACTAATGCATTAAGTCACTCTCGTGGTGTTAAATTGAAATAATAGGCGAGTTTGGTTTGTAAATTGCTGGAGCAGCGGCACTTGAGTGGACATGAGGGTGCTTGAGAATAAGGATACTGGTGAATAATGGCTCCTGCTGCTCTTTTCTCTCTTAAGGCTGAACTTTGATATGCCATGCTACATTTATCTTGGTTTTATAAAGAGCCTGATGCTAATGTGAAAAGATATGAACACAGAGCATTAAGCTTTAATGGGTTTCTTTAAAGTGGGTGATAATGAACTTACTTGAGGTCTTCTGTGGACTTGGCCAGGATTAAGGGGGTTTCCACTGAATGACCAAAAACTGCTCCTTCAGAGCCTGAAACACATTAAACCAGCGGGAGACTCAAATTAAGTTTTATTTAAACTCAAACTTTGTCTGATTTATCCTCTGATGAAGTGTTGAAATGGATTAAGGTCAATCATTTCTTCTATATATGTATAGTTCTTGGGGCCCAAACCCGTGTGCCCTGCCTGTCCGCGTACCTGTAATGGTGAATTTCTCTGTTGTCATGACGACTTCCTCTTCCTCTGCAGTAAACAGAAGTCTTCCTCCTTCACTGCTGCGCACCTCCAGTCTCTGACACTGGGCCTCCACAGACTCTGGTCCTGTTCAAGACACAAACTCAAATTCATACACATGTTCACATTGATCCAGGTTTGATCCTGGTTTGAGCCCCTGCTGTAGACTTGATTTAGTCCGAGTTCTAGTCCAGGTCTGGTTCTGAATTTTGTCTCAGTTTAGCCCCAATTTTATGTGTGCAGTAAGAAAATTGGGACTTAACTGTGACTAAGCTCAAAACAAAACCTAAACGATTAGATCAGCATTAAACCAGAATAAGACATTTACACAGGATTAATTTTCCTTATTTTGAGGTAAAATATTTTGAAACCAGCCAGAAATTTCTTGAAACAAATTGCTGCGCACATATAAGATTGTGATGTTCACATTGCTCCAAGTTTGATCCTGATTTGAGCCCCTGCTGTAGACTTGATTTAGTCCGAGTCTAGTCCAGGTTTGGTTCTGGACTTTATCTCAGTTTAGCTCCAATTTTGTGTGGTATGATAGCACCCTCAGTAATGTAGCCTACGTTGTTTGGGTACCAAGATATTTTTGCATATTATGTACATGGCATGAATATTTGCTAAAGGATTTGAGAGCTTGGATGAAGTTACAGAGCAATAAACTGTGTTTACACTTGCACACACCAAAACTTAGACTAGATCAGGACTAAACCAATGCCAAACCAAGCCTTCATTATTACTAAACTGTGCCATCATATCTCAGGGAATCTTCAATGGAGATTTTAAGATGCTAAATACTAAAGTTAGTGTTCATTCAAAAGTATTCTGATATTACTGTGGCCCCCTATTCAAGTTGTTTGCGGATGCAGTGTTCATCCACACCAATCCGATGGAAAACAGCTCCAGAGGTGGAACGATCTGGTTCCATCAGCTCCCACAAATTCATCGGAGTACAGATCTAATCCAGCACTGTGTGGATGCCTGAAAACGCTGATATGCTGACGTAGGAGCTCTAGTTGCTGTCATTGTTGGACCACGTCACGTGATTTGCACCTTCCTGATTCGCTGGGTTCATGACATCGGTCATGTGATGCTTTTGCGGAAAACATTTTAAACAAATCATAGACAAACGGGAAACAGCGCAGCTAGAACTACTTGCACAGAACAGACTCACCATTAGCAGAACACCCCTCTGTCACAGAAAGAACACTCATATTCCACTGAGTCATGTCCTTTAGTCTGACAGAAGCTGAACCGCGTCAGGGCACAAGGAGCGAGCTGTTTTTTGAGCTCTTAGTTTATGCAAATTAAACATGCGGTTTTAAGTTTTGTTTCTGTAAACAGTAAACAAATATGCACAAAGCTGTGTGGATAGGGAAGGGTTGCTGACACAGAAGCGACATGTCTGGACGCAAATCACTTCTGATGCGGTGATATGGTGATTCGTTTCTGTGTAATCCCAAACTGTGTGTTAAATGTATTTACCTTTTTTTTCCACAGCTCTTTTGTTAACTTTGTTACATAGTTTTTCTTGCCACAGGGTTTGATTTTGGTTCTGGTTCTGTCCAAAGCCTTATACAAAGATGAGCATGAACACAACCTAAATTGCTCCTTTCATGATTTGAAAACATCCCAGCTGTAATATTTCAATAGTATTGCGACGACGTTTTCTTTGTCTTAAGCTGTAGCAGAATATTTGTTGATGCTAATATAAATTGACTTCGGGCCAATGGGGTCATCCGTGTGGGAACGGTTTTTACATTTAATTAAACGTGTTTTCAGCAGTCTGGTTGTATCCATGGCAACATAATGAAACGGGTACATCTGTATAGCATTAGCAAACAATGGCAAAAAAAACAAGTTTACCCAATTATAAAAAGTGTTCCCTCAGTCTTCTGACATCAAAGGATTAACAATGAACCACTAACTCTCATTAAATTGTAAATAAATAAGTTAAATGAAAAAAAAAGAAGCAATGTATATATTTTTTATGGCGGAGATGGGATTGGGCTTACGAGGTCAAACATTTTGCTATTTTGGAAATTGGTTTTTCATTTTTGTTGGCTGTACATTTTGTGATTAACCTGCAAAATCAAATCCGTGATGAAGAATTCATTACCTATAAATTAAACCCTATTTCCTTGACTATATTTGGGGTCTGTTGGGTCATTTCGGATAGTGGCGCTTTTGCATTAGTTTACATGGGAAAAGCAATTACTATTCTGCCAGTTTGGGCTAAGAAGTTTCGTGGAAGTTTGTGTTTCCGCTAAATGGGCACTACGGCATTTGGGCACGTAAGGATATTGGCAGTGGGAAATACTGTGCTTTGGAGTGCTTGCTGTGCAAATGAAAGGCTCGAGCAAAGCTGGATCAGCCATGCTTTTACAAAGGATGGAGACAAATCAGTAATCTGTTCCGCTGGTGAGGAATATTAATTCAAGTTCCTCAGACTTGGTGTTTTTCCAGATGTGCAAAAACTTTTACCCTGTTTTACCTCCATTAATCTACACTCTCTAATGGTCAGAGGAGGTAATTATTCTTGCCCATCTAATAGACTGGGTTCACAGACATCACAACTTTTTACAATCCCAGTAGTTTAAACTGAGGGATATTTTCTTTTATTCTTTTTATTATTATGGTGATCCTGGTGTTTTTATTTCACAGTTTTGTCTGGAAATCAACTCCTGTTCCTAATATGGAAATTAAACTATGCTTTTACAGTCTATGCATGAAACTCAAAGCATAAAAGTGCAGAAATATCACTTCATACAATTTGGAAGATTACTTTACCTGCAAGTTCCTGTTTTATATACAGTATTTTTCGGACTAAAGGGGGCACTTAAAATCTAAATTCTTAAAAATCGACGGTGTGCCTTACAGTCCGGTGGTTCTCTTTGTTCAGATGGGTCTGGGTTCACAGACATCACAACTTTTGACAATCTCAATAGTTTAAACTGAGGGATATTTTCTTTTATTCTTTTGATTTATTTATAACAGTTTCGATAAAAAGCATATCTATATTTAAATATTTCGCTTTTTATATGGGAAATATTTTATTGATTGTTTTAAGTGGAATAATACCAATCCCAATATCTTTCACTTCAAAATGCAAGCTATAGTATTATTTTTAAATCATTAGAAACTAAGGATGTAACAATATCCAAATCTCTCTGTACAATATTATCACAATATGCATCTCACGGTTTGATATTTATTGCAATACTTTGGAGAGGCTGATATAATTGTAGATAGGACACTTTTTTGCTTTTAAAATACCCTGACAAGATTTTTTGGTGTGAATTATTTCCGTTATAATCCCAAGAATTCAAGTAAAAACATATCTCTTCATGTTGTCTGCGCTGAAATGAATCATGGGATATGTAGTTCCTGATATTTATTAGCTATTGGTACTATAACACAATGCATTTAAGCAAAGGATTTTGTAATTCGATATATTATGACAGCCCACGATATTATTGTGAGACATTCAATGATACGATATCACGATATTTCGGTTATTGTTACATCCCTAGAAAAAACCCTTAATAATGATAATAAAAATAAACAAGTTAATTACATGTTATGAGTTTATAAAAGAATGATAATTACCCTTCTTTTATGTCATCTTTGTGTATACTGTTTGTCTGTTTTCTATATTTATAATAATTTGTATGTATATATGCAATCAATTTAATGAAGTAAAAAAAACAAAAAACTAATTGCAGATGGACGGTTTATAAAATCTCTGTAATTATTGGGCCTGAATCAAACATGAAACAAAAACTGGCAAAAAGTTGAATAGCTTCTGTATCAGCATAAATAAACAAAAGACAAATCATTTTTCTCCATTCAGAAAGTGGTGCCATTATTCAACTCCAAAGGTTTGATTGTTGTCACATCAAGGAACTTTAAACCATGAGATGAATATTCCGGGTTTGACACTTTCAAAAACAGCGAATCTCTCCATGGGAATAGTTACATCTGAGGTTATGCCATCATCAAACTCTAGATCGTGAAGACAACCTATTTCAGCAAAGCACTTTCTACAAATGCAGAAACTCATTTGGAGAGGGAGGTCATGCACGGCCGAAACGTCAAATCAGCTGCTAACTTCTGCTCCGCTCAGATCAATAGCTGTTAATGTGAATACGAAAGCCGTTTACTTTCAGTGGACATTAATCATGTAAATGGCTGCAGTCATTTGGCCTGACTGATGCCTCAACTTGATGTTAATAAGAGAATCCATTGGCCTTTTAATTAAGCCTTCAAATATTGTGTTTGGACGAAACCACTACGAGTCGAAAATCTTGATTAAACCCATTAATTTGAGCGTCCATCAGTTTCTAATGAGTAAATGAGTAGGTTCAGAGATCTTAGCCCCTTCAGGATGACAAGTTTGGAAGAGCAAAAGTTTATGTTTAAAAAAATCTGTCATAAAAACCTGACCCTAAGTTCATTTAAAGGTGCTCTATGTAACTATTCTGGTAGAGCAGGGGTACAAAGCCGAGCAAACTGTTCTACACTCTGTGCCTCTTTTTTGGACCTTCACCCACAGTTTGAGAAGCCCTTCTTTAAAAGAACTTGCACCGGCACTTTACAGAAAAATGTGAAAAAAGGGAAGAAAGTGGGTAGAATTTTTAAACCTGTTTCTTTAAGTTCCTTACTGGAGTTGCATTCTCTTACTGGTTTTGCAGTGGGATTTAGCCTCTGCACATTTACCAAACCAAACGCACATCGTGACAAATACAGATGCATTTGTGCACTTTTATTAGGCAAACTTCAGCCAATATCGCTGTAGGCCTGTTCTGTGCTGTAGACATCCTCTGTGCCAACACTGTAACATAAATCTAGATTAGTTTTTGCTTCACATTTCATCTTACTCTTCTAATCAACATATTGTGGAAGGAGCCTGCGTGCGCTTTACATGGGGAGGAGCGAAAGCATGAAAAGGCGAGTAGCGGCGAGCTGACGTGAGGCAGATGGACAGGCAGGATTTTTTAAAAAGTTTAATCTGCCCTGTGATACACGCTGAGACATAAGGGCACACGCTGTTGTGAACAAGCCACGTGCAGGGAGCATGTGTTTGTGATGTGCCACACATTATCCACGGGTTCTAAATGAGAGCATTGGCTGCAGTGAGAAGCCCCGCACGCTCCCGCACGCTCCCGCACGCTCCCGCACGCTCCCGCACGCTCCCGCACGCCGGTACACATTTACTGCTGACAGCAGCAGCCGTAATGTCATATGATCGCACTCGTCGAGTGTCAGACCTCAAGTGAGAGACAAGACTGACTCTAAACGCAATCGAGTCCAAGACGAGTACTATGACACTGAGATCTACCCAAACTACCTTGGCGATCAACTGGTAGACGTATCGATGTATTGGGCACCACTGTGGTAGAAGATCCACCACCTTGTCGCCATGGAGATGTTATTGCTTCCACAGTATGGCATTATCTTAATTTCTCCACCACCAAGTCAAGTTAAAAGTCAGATCTTTTGGAGAGGCAGCCCTGCTTATGTTTTTCAAAGGTTTTTGAGCGCCAGTAACACCTCTAAGTTCAATGTCATACTGAGAAACATTGCAGGCAAAGCAATAACATCTCCATGGAGACAAGCAGATGGCAAATCCTCCACCAGAAAAGTTACATAGTGCACCATTAATAGCTTTGGTAAAACTCGTTTTGTTGGAGCAAATGGACTCACCTACGGTCAGCTGACCCGTCAGTAGTCCCTGGTCATTTCGTGCGTTTAATGTCACGTTCTTCTCAGACTTCAGGACAAATAAACCTTCCTGGCAGAGAGAATAAAGACAACAGACATGAAAATATAAATAAGATCATTGTAGTCAGTCTCTTTTCCTTTCGTCAAAACAAATTGTAAGGCATTTCTCATTTTTCTGAAGCAACCCAAAACTGTTGTCAGTGATGATCTTAATGAATATCTTGTCTCCTCTATACAGTTGAAAAATAGACATACTTAAAAACTGTCACCCGTCTCTCTGAAACTGCTGCTGTCAGACTTGTCATTTTGGTCGTAAAATATTCATATTAACCCGCTCTAGATGATCCTGGTGTTTTTATTTCACAGTTTTGTCAGAAATCAACTCCTATTCCTAAAATGGAACTATGCTCAAAATTCAGTTCTATAACTCCCAGCCACGGTGAGCTTCATTTGACTGAAGCCAAATGCAAGGGGTGACTTCACACTCTCTTTGTCCACTTCTTTTTACAGTCTACAGTGTTTCCCGCAGAAAATTGGTTAGGTAAGGCAGTGCTGGCGAAATAGAGGACGGGGGGTTCTGTGCACTGAGAAAAAGTGAGGAGTGGGGAGAGCGGAGATTCCGTGAGACAACCAAAGTTTTGTAAGAATTCACGTGGTTCAGAGGGACGTAGTCAAGGTGGGGGACGCTCGTTGTCAAGGCCTTAACTATAAAGCGCTGGGGGAAACACTGGTTTACAATATGAAAGCATAAGACGTGGACTTAACATGGACTTACGGGCTTTTAAAATTAAACAAAAAAGTGCAGAAAAATCACTTTATACCATTTGGAAGATTTCAATAGCTCCTGTTCTTTTATATATTCTTGTTAGTGTTGTCGTGATACTAAAATTTCAAACTCGATTTTGATACCCAGAAAGGGACTCAATACATTCTGATAACGTGAAGACAAAAACAAAACAAAAAAATGTAATGAACTTAACGTTAAAAAAAACTTCATTTAGATAATAGGATGTCATTTTGAATATTAAATCGTATTAGTTTCTTATATCGTCTTATACTCAAGTTTCAATGTAGTATTTTAGTATTTATTGGTATCTAATTGTTGATACTTTTGACAACCCTAATTCTTATTGCAGCCTTTCTGAAAAACTATTCCCATATGATGTGTATTTGGTATTCAAATTTTGCACAGTAGCTTTGGCCAGTTTTGCCATCTTTTCGCGTTAAAAAAGTAACTCCACCCTTTGATCAGAGTTAAACAAAGTTCTCCTAATCCTACATCTTGCTCTACAGTTCCACTCCTAAATATTCATTGGAGCAGACAAACTTTGATTAATTTCCCAAAAGAGACATGAGATTCAAACAGATTCTCTTAAGATGTGGAGATGTGTGTGATTTGTAAAGGTTATTCATTAATTTTAACCACTCGTTCTTTATAAAAGTGCATGTTGTGAAATCCTCAAGTGTTACAGTGAGGAAATCATGATTTGAAGTGTTTTTTGTTTAAAGGATTTCTACACTTCCTTTGGGGGAATAAGACATCAGCACATCTTTGGGATAATATTAAAGTTCAACTAAACAACTAAACTTCACTCACAACCACATTTCAAACAGGGTCAGTGCCCGGAGGACTGAAGGGGAGAGTGTGTCAAAATTATAGGTGAACAATATATAAAAAACTGTACAATATTACAAATGTTGTTTTGGAGATATGCAAAATGTGACTATCGAGACTATAAACAAATACAATACATTAAAAAAAAAAAAAGCTGAGCAAAAATAAAAATGAGCAGAAACATCAAGTATAATCTGTCAAACAAGTGTATAAAGTGGTACTTCTGCACTTTTGTGGTTCATTTTCTGCTCCATTCACATTTTGTTGGATACTTGATCCTCAACTAAGGTATTTACAGGAATATTTTAGCACATTCCTAATGAATTATTAAATGTCCTATATTTTGCCATGTTACAATGTGGTTACCTCATCAAAACCATACCCAGAGCTACATTTTACCATTTGTTTAGTAGAAAATGGAAATTCCAGGGTTAAAATTATCCAAAAGATTCTAGTGAAGGTGTATAGAGTTTAAAAACACAATGGTATGACAACATGACATCATGAGGTGGAAGAAAGTGTTTTCTGTTTGAGAGAAGAACTTGTGTGTTAAACATGTGTGAACGAAACAAAACACAACTCCAGGTATGCTTTTGATGAGGAAATAACATAGACCAGAAAAATGCAATATGGGTCCTTTAAAACATAATATGGATATCTTGAAATATCACAGACAACAATGTCAATATTGCCCACCCCTAATCACAATACCATACTTCCATCCATCCATTTCCTTTCACTTTATTTGGGGTCAGGTTGCAGGGGGCAACAGTCTAAGCAGGGACTTCAAGACTTCTCTATCCACACACACTTCCTCCATCTCTTCCAGAGGCGTTCCCTGGCCAGCCCAACGATATAGTCCCCCAGTGTGTCCTTGGTCTTCCCGGGGGCCTCCTCCCAGTGGGACGTACCCGGAACACCTCCTGAGAGAGGCACTGAGGAGGCATCGAGAGCAGATGCCCGAGCCACCTGAACTGGTTCCTCTTGACGAGGAGGAGCAGCGGCTCTACTCCAAGCTCCTCCCGTGTGACTGAGCATCCAGCCACCCTGCAGAGGAAACTCATTTTGCCCGCTTGTATCCACAATCTTATTCTTTCGGTCATTACCCAGAGCTCATTTTAAAAATGTATTTATTATTTATTTATTTATTAAAATGTAAATATGTAAAGATTATAGCCAGCGTGGCCAGGTTCATCTTCAGTCCCTCGGAAGGTTCATGTCAAATAATCTACAGGACAGGGAAAGTACAACAACAATCACACAACAGTACATAACACCAGCACACTCGATATACATGCAATTAATTTCAGACAGTTTTATTTCTTTTGATACCGCATAATAGGCTTGATACTTGTTACCAATTTTGATACCATAATAATTATCTTTAAAAAAATTTTTAACTAATAGACTGTTTGCCTGGGATCAAGAATACATATTACAATACTTGACAAAAATGTGGGTCTGGTCACTGGTGAATCTTCTCAAGCTCAGATGAGTGATTGACAGGTCAGGGATTAGTCAATCATAAATCTTCTGCCTATATCAAAACAAATATGACTACTGACAAGGAAAAAAGAAAGGTCTTTGGCTAGAGGTGCAACAAATCTCAATCAAACAGATAAAGAGTTATAATTCTTGACAAATTTACCTAGTTTTCGCGGAAATCTCCCAAAAAACAACTAGAACAGTAGATAAAGCTATAAAAACACGGCGTACACAGTTTGAAAGAAAAACAGTTGATTTAGTGCTTAGTTCCACTTTAATTTTATTTTTTTTAAAACTTGGCGCACCCATTCATTCAGGAAGGTCAAGAGAAGATCAGAGTCGATGCACATAAATACAGAGCGTGTTGTCATAAGGTGCAGTCAGACTGAAAAATTACTATGGCACTCGCGCTTCCCTGAATACAATGAATAACATCACTGCCACCCGCCCGCATGGTAAACACAGATAGCACGATCCCACCTTTAGCGAAAGAAGAGGAACATTATTGGATTTTTAAAGAAAGTTTAGATATATTTGAAAAAGAGATTCAGGAGCAGATTCATAGTCATGTTTTTCATGAATAGCTGGGAAATTCAAAGTGGCAGTTATCTAATATTTATGCAATGTAGCACACTGTTTGAAGGTGCTATGTGAGGATTTTTTTTTGTTTGAAATGGGAGATTGGATTCCTGGTTTTGGATGTGAGACTAAGTAAAGTGAAGATGGTGAGAATCTCTTCCACTCAATCTGATAATTCTATCCATTTGCTATATTATTAGATTTTCAGTTTGGTTTTCTTTTTGCAGTTCACTTTTTCTTCAAGTTGGTAAATTATGGACTTTATTCACACAAAACCAGAAGACATTTGGAAACATGAGGATGACAACTTCCTTTGGGCTCTGTTGGCGATAATAACTCTGATAAAATCTGGGAAAACAGAGAAAATTACCTTGTGGCTTATCGATTTGAGCTACCTAGAGCTGCTGCACTTGTGGACAACCCCCAAGCGCTGTTAGAGTTTAAATGCTGTCGATTTGAGCTCCCGAGGCAGAAGTGGAGTAACAAGTAACATTTGAAAAGCATAATGGTTTTATTGTCTGTTTTGACCAGTTACGCATGTTAGATTTGCGGCAGAATATCCACGTTAGATGATTGAATAGTTTGGATTTAATATTTGATTTTATCGTTATCATTTTCATCACATCGTATTTTTTTTATTTTTTTGTTTCCATCTGTAGAAAACGTTGTAACTTTATTTAGAAAGCCGCTGTATAAATTAAATGTTGCTATATTATAATAGGAAACTCACAATATAGACTATGATATTTATTTTAATGTAAAGACTTTAGTGTTTCCAGTAATTTCTTTCTCTTATATAGTCGGAGCCTTATTTGATAGAAGATATAGGCTTGTCGAAATGAACTACCTCAACTCAAATCCATATAAATGAGTGAATACTGGTGGGAGCATTATTCAGTGGCTAAACTGGCCTGTCAATATGTGCTACTTTTAGTCAGAGCCCTATTTGAGCAGAATATGACTTACCTACGCATATTCATATAAATGAGTTGACATTTTACATAACTAAGGTATAAAGTTTGATCACCGTGTGCAAACAGCATCAAACCCGCTGTCTCTAATCCAAAGAAATATGTGTCAAACTGGGGAGGTTAGTTTTAGTGGATCTATTCAACTGTACATGGAAAAACATCAGTAGCTTATTTCGACGAGGCAGCCCATTTCGACAGAACACCAGTTTTCTTCATCTAGATGTCATTGTATTTTTTCTTTTTTCCTTTTATTAATTGCCTATTAATTGGTGTATTATAATTTGTCTAACTTTATTTTAAAAAAAGACATGGAAGATACGATTAGAGTCCTGTCCCCCATGGAAAGCTTTGGCAGGTTGTGAAGATGCTGCTGCTGAATCCACGGTTTTATCACATGCCCAGTGTCAGTAATTACACTGG